GTGTGTGTGTGTGTGTGTACAGCAGTTTTAAAGTAGAATGATAATACACTTTTAATTTACATGAAAAAAACTTTTATGGAAATTATTTTAAAAATATAAATTACTGCCGTCTGCAGAGGTCAAAACATTTGTTTTGTTTTTGGGTTATTGCCAGAGTTTGTAGCTGGCTCCTCTGTTGTTTCCCTCTTTCATGGTAGAACTGTTCTAGCTATGAAGAAAACCGTGCTCTGCATGTTAAACATTCACTGCCTGCTGCTGACTTGCTGCAATGTAGCAGGAAAATTACTGAGTGTTAGGACAAAAAAACAAAAAAAAAAACATCACTTTAACCTGCTGCCAAAGTTTAAAATGGGTCATAAACATGATTTGAATGACACTATATCTAAAATGAGGATTTGGTCCAATGATTTTTGTAAATTTCTTTGAAATCTAAAAAAAAAAAAAAAACTTCTAAGGTTAACTTTGAAGATCATTCTTCGACTCTTAACATTTTTTCTTATTATTTTAAAAATAAAAAATTTGCTCTTATCTCAAACCAAAGCTTTGCTGATCTTGTTTTTTTTTTTTTTTTTTTCATTTCTGCTTTTCTGCCCTCGTGTTTGCCTTCCACTAATGTGCTGCGCAAGCTCTTTTATGCTCTTGTTTTTACCTCAAGCCATCATCATGTTCATCATGTGAGGCTTGTTCTAGCCATCAATGAGGAAACAAAGCTAATGTTTTCTTCTTGCTGTTTGGATTTTTTTTTATTTATACAATGAAAATGCAGTTAGAAAGAAAAAATAAACACCCTATACAGTGTTAAACCAATGTAATCCAGGCTCATTTTCCTTTTGGAGCAATTCATTGTGTACCATTTTCTACTGACCCAAACTATAACCCTAAAATGGGGACCCTAAACCCTAAAAGGGGAAATGGCCGGGAAGTTTATAAAAAAAAAAAAATAAATAAAAAAAGCCAGTTTAACATACTCATTCACTGGGTGCCTATTAAAAAAATTAGGTCCTGAAAGCATAAATTACATTTTCAGCTTCCCTTGTGAACAAGTTGAATAGTTTGTTCTATAATCAGTCAAAAAGTATTTTAGCTATTCGGCCACAAGGACAAAAACAATTTTTTCTAAAGGCTTCTTAACCTAAGTCTGACTTAAAGAAGCATGGGGCTGGTTAGACCATTAAGCTGACTACAATGTGTCGCTGAATCACGTTCTTACCCTTTTGAACATTTTTAGGAATCTCTCTGCTGGTTTTTTCAAAATGTATTTTATTAGTCCAAATCCGTATCCATCTACTTCTAACTTTTTCTTTTTGGAATTGTGGAAAGTTATTTCCTTCTATTGAAGGTGAGATGCCATATGAGTCTTTATGTCTAGCAGACATTCAAGTGCAACACCTACTTCCCCAATTTTACCTAAAATCAACTAATTAGCTAAAACGCAGGCATAATTGGATGTCCCAGTAAGGCTAGTTTTTTTTTTTTATTGCATGGATCAGCATTTATGTCTGAAACCCATTACAATGTAAGAAAAATTCTAATTTGTGTTTTTATTTTAATTGAATAAAGAAACTGTATAGGAATTCATCATCAATGTAGATGTACTTTTTGTCAGAACTGTGAGCACATCTACAATAACAAAAGTGTTGATTAGTAATTTAAAATGGAAATTGTAACAATAAAAACAAAATAGCTGGAATTACTGTTTAAAGTGGCAAACATCTGTTCACTCAAAGTGCAAAACATGAACTTTTAAGAGCGTCAAAAACTCTGACTGTACATGTTTAGATGGTCCACGGTGCATCGTTCAGCTCCGATGGAGAACCTACTGTTAAAGGTCATCATCACACTTCAGGGTTGTGAGCACTGTTAGTGCCTCTGTCTGCTGTTGGGTCAGGACCTCTGAGGAATGGCGAAGAGTCTCATAGGGATCTCATCATCAGGGGTCAGTGCCTGGGAGTCGATTTGGTGGAGGCTTTGCTCAGTAACCAAGAGACTGGAGTCCCCACTGTGTGTTTTTTTTTTTTTTCCCTGCTACAGAGTGACACTGCCTTGTTTTTGTCTTCTTTAGATGGCAGTGCCATTTTTAAGGGCTGTTTTCATCGGCCAGACAATGTCACAGCAGCTCTTCCCTTCAGTGCTGTCATCCAAAACATGTCTGTGGACAAGTGTGTGGACATGTGCACAGAAAAGGTGAGCGGGCTTCTCTTATGTGTGCTTGTGCAGATTGTCGGACTGTTACAAATGATGTTTGTTGTACCTCAGGAGAAATCGTTGGCAGCTCTGGCTGGAGAGAGATGTTACTGCGGCTTTCCAACTCCTCTCTTTTCCCTTCACGAGCTGGAAGAAGAGGACATGTGCCTCCAACGGTGCCCGGGAGAAGAGTTTGAAAGCTGTGGAAATGACAAGTTCTTTGTGGTGTACCAGACACAGGTTCAAGGTATGGTTTGGTGTCTCTTGCCTGCAAAGTCACTTGCAGTTTGTGGAAGAGAGATGAGAATAGAGCAAGAATAGGTGTTTACCACATCCTGTGTTGAGTTTCAATGTAGGTGTCTTTGTTGAGGCAACGGTTCCTGTTTTTTAAAATATTGGATTTTAATGACATGTATAAAAATTATTTTTGTTGATGCACAACCCTTCAACTATATTGCAAAAAAAAAATCCTAGTTACAATTTCTGAAATTTCTGTGAAACACTTTATACATTTATTCAAAATGTAGTCTTTTTGTTAACAAAGTTTAGTGCTATTTCTGCTCAAGGTTGAATTAAAGTGATCTTCCCTTAGCTGACTTTGTGGCATATTTTTCTTACTCATCTGATTTCTTCAGGCAATAAGACACTGATAAATGACAGTATGTGGGGAAAAAACTATGTTCCACAGTCTCAGAAGGCTTTTCACCCTGAAATATTCCCTTTCAACCTTGGCATACCTCACAGGGAAGCAAAACCTGGTAATAAGATAAAAACAGAGGAAGGAAAAAAGCTCATCTTTAAGTAGCAGAAATAACATACAATTTAGTTAGTATTTTATGCCTTGTATTTAGCTTAAATAGGATTCAGCTTTGATTTAAAATTCCCAGAATTACCAAATAAATTCCGCCCACACAAACTTATTTCTGAGCTTTTACTTTTCGCCATTAAGAAAGTATGAACATGTAGAAAATCAGATTGCTTAAAGGTTTAGAATTTATTACCAAGATTCTGTTTTACTTCTCAATTATCTAGACTCATAAGAAATATCTGATTAGTTAAATATACACTCACCGGCCAATTTATTAGGTACCCCATGCTAGTAACGGGTTGGACCCCCTTTTGCCTTCAGAACTGCCTCAATTCTTCGTGGTATAGATTCAACAAGGTGCTGGAAGCATTCCTTATTGTCATGTTCCAGAAACCAGTCTGAGATGATTCCAGCTTTATGACATGGCGCATTATCCTGCTGAAAGTAGCCATCAGAAGTTGGGTACATTGTGGTCATAAAGGGATGGACATGGTCAGCAACAATACTCAGGTAGACTGTGGCGTTGCAACGATGCTCAATTGGTACCAAGGGGCCCAAAGAGTGCCAAGAAAATATTCCCCACACCATGACACCACCACCACCAGCCTGAACCGTTGATACAAGGCAGGATGGATCCATGCTTTCATGTTGTAGACGCCAAATTCTGACCCTACCATCCGAATGTCGCAGCAGAAATCGAGACTCATCAGACCAGGCAACGTTTTTCCAATCTTCTATTGTCCAATTTCGATGAGCTTGTGCAAATTGTAGCCTCAGTTTCCTGTTCTTAGCTGAAAAGAGTGGCACCCGGTGTGGTCTTCTGCTGCTGTAGCCCATCTGCCTCAAAGTTCGACGTACTGTGCGTTCAGAGATGCTCTTCAGCCCACCTTGGTTGTAACGGGTGGTTATTTGAGTCACTGTTGCCCTTCTATCAGCTCGAACCAGTCTGGCCATTCTCCTCTGACCTCTGGCATCAACAAGGCATTTCCGCCCACAGAACTGCCGCTCACTGGATGTTTTTTGTTTTTCGGACCATTCTCTGTAAACCCTAGAGATGGTTGTGCGTGAAAATCCCAGTAGATCAGCAGTTTCTGAAATACTCAGACCAGCCCTTCTGGCACCAACAATCATGCCACGTTCAAAGTTCACTCAAATCACCTTCCTTCCCCATACTGATGCTCGGTTTGAACTGCAGGAGATTGTCTTGACCATGTCTACATGCCTAAGTGCACTGAGTTGTCGCCATGTGATTCGCTGCTTAAAAATTAAGTGTTAACAAGCAGTTGGACAGGTGTACCTAATAAAGTGGCCGGAGAGTGTATACATTTTATTTAAATTACAATCCTTTGTTGGATCAAACTCTTGGCTGCATAGAAAAAGAAGAACAATGCAGAATTAAAGCTAATAATTGGCAAAAAGAAGAACCTATTTGAGGAAAAAAGTTATAATCTTTGTGGAAAAGCATTATAATATATTGTCTAATTTAAAGGTGACAACATGTCTGCAAAACTCAGGTTTTTTTTTTTTTTAGATAGTTGCTTCTAGAAATAAAGAGCACTGGGTATATTCGTTCTCCAACTTAAAATTTTTGGAACCAACTTTGAGCTGGACTGCATTGAACCATCCACTTGTTACATTTAATCGTTACAGTAAGACTTTGCTGCCACTGGGTGGCATGGAAAATTAAGTTCAATGTAATTATAATTTGTTTAGCATGTGTTCACTTAGAACTCCATGCTCTGAACACAGTGAAGCATGGATATAAATTAAAAGAGCCCCAAGCTTTAAGCCACAAAGAGCCCTCTGCAAATGTCATTCATCCAGAGTAAGACCTCCCAAATAAAGTCAAGTACTCCAATCCTGCAAAATATTATTCTTATATAAAAGTGGTATAAATATATATTTATCTGTGATATCCTTCTTTCTTGTACCAACTTCCCTGGGTAGACTTAAACACAAATGTGCTTATTCAATATATCTTACTACCTGTTTTTGTAAAAAAGAAAAAAACCCAAAGCTGATCTGACGATAATGAAGTATTTCTTATGGTTTCCTTGTATTCCCTTCCAGTCTGTGTTGTTGAGGGAAGTGTTTTCCTATGGCAGCAGACAGCTGTGGCTTGATTAAGCAGAATAGCACTTAAGTAAACAAAGCAAAATGTTCATTGTGGTGAGAACAAAAAAAAAAAGAAAAAAAAAGCTGATGTTAGAAGGGAAGTTCTGAGAAGTTGAACTCTGACTTGCACTGCTGTTTTAACCCCAACTTCCATTTTAACTCAAATTCAATCACACAGTGTTTTTATGCAATGACCACCCAAACTCAACCATACAAAATATCGTCATCTTGACCTTTTTTATGTTCCCAGCCATCACAACTTCAGTGCATAAATGTTTAATTCAATTTAAAAATCGGTAATGAGAAGTATATGTCTTGTTAACTATGTGCTGTCAGATAACCGCTGCATGGACCGGCACTTCCTTCCTGCCCGCACTAAGCAGCTGGTGGCCCTTGCCAGTTTCCCTGGGGCAGGCAACACCTGGGCTCGCCACCTTATAGAGCTTGCCACCGGCTTCTACACAGGCAGTTATTACTTTGATGGTTCCCTTTATAACAAAGGTATGCTCCAGCATGTGATTATATAATTCAAAATTTAAATTTGTGTTGCTGAATACATTTTGTATCTGGATGGTGTTGTTGCACAGGCTTTAAAGGGGAGCGTGACCACTGGCGGAGTGGAAGGACGATCTGCATTAAGACGCATGAGAGCGGCCGGAAGGAGATCAATGCTTTTGATTCGAGCATCCTCATGATCCGTAATCCCTACAAAGCCCTGATGGCAGAATTTAACCGCAAATATGGTGGGCATATAGGGTTTGCCTCACAGGCACACTGGAAAGGAAAAGGTAAGCTGCTGAAAAATTTAGTTAATTACTAAAATGTGGATGGATGGACAAATCGACGGACTGACCGACCGAAATGTGACCAGCTATATACGGTGGACAAATAAAGGGAGGTTTGACTTTTGTTTTGAATAAAACTGCAAATGGCAAAATAGCAACTGAGTCAATACAGAAGTGATGCATAATGGTGAGGAAATTGAGGAAATGTGGTTCAAACCCAAGCCAAATGTTTTTTTTTTTTATTCCAATCATTTGCACAGGATTTAAAGGTTTTAGAGAAATGAAACAATGAACCATCAAGGCACTATTATTAGTCATTCAATGTTCTGTCATCAGTGAAACACCATTCATGTTTTATAGACACAGAGTACCCTGTTAGATTTGAATGCCTTCACGGATTGTGTACATTCAATAACAAAATAGCTCTCCCCCCCAAAAAAGGGTTAAGACTGGAGGTTTTTAGATCCCTACAGGTGAAACGTGTAGCACTAACTTCCACCCTGGGATCTTGCTGTATCAGCTGTCCTATGTTCCTATATCGATTAAAGACCGAAAACTGAAACTTTTCAACAAAAACAATTTTCTTCTTAACACTTAACAGGAAACTTTTCATCTGTGAGTTTAAAGTATTTCTATGTGAGTCTGTTTGTTTCTATTCAAACTGATCAAATTTGTTGCTTAACATTTTCTGCCCAGCATAAAGACTAACAATGACGGATAAAGAAGTTTTCCTGTAGGTAAACTTCACTTTCAGGGTTAGATTGTCAGCAAAATTATCCTGATGAGTCATCAAAGTACTTTTATCATCCAAAAATAATTTGCTGATTTTTAAAAAGAAGCATTTTGACGTATTAAAGTTGTAATTTTGTAACTTTCCATTAATCAGCCACACGTATGAAAAAAAAAAATCTTTTGTCTACTTCCAAAAACTGTTCTGTCACAATATTGAGTCTTTTTTCCACGCACATCTGTAATCACATGTTGATGGTTTCGACAGTGTTCCACAAATGTAAGCTTTTATAAACGACGCTGCCTTAACCAAAGCTCGGCCTATTTACAGCATGAGTCAATGGGACACCGCATGAATCACAGACATCCCACAGCCTGAATATTCTTCACCCCTGTATTGTTTACAGTGTCTTATGGCATGCCTAACCTTAACATATATATATTTTTTCTTTTTTTGTCACATTACAGTAGAATGCTCAGCGTGTTTCAAGATGATTTTATGGTAGAATGGTAAATTTAAATAGTCTGCACTTACATAGCGCTTTTTCAAGTCAGAAGACTGCCAGAATTGCCTCACACAGTCATTCACGCACACACACTCACACTGATGGTGGCAAACTACATTGTAGCCACAACTGCCCTGGGCTCACTGACAGAACAAAGGCAAGGCTGCCAGACACTGGCACCACCAGTCCATCCGACCCTCTTCAGAAGGCAATGTAGTTAAAGTGCGTTGCCCAAGGACAAAACGACACTGAAAGCCGGAGCCTGGGCTTTAACCGACAACCATCCAGCTGCAGGGCAAACGCCTACATACAGTACGACTCCACTGTATATGTGGTGGGCAGACAGAGATTGGTGCATTAATGTAAATTAGACTGATAATGGTGCAGATTTTTCATATGCTTATTTTCACCATCATACAGACCACAATGTGTGTGGGGTAGGGTTCTGTTCAAATCAAACTACAAAGTATGGTGTTTGCTGCACATTGTTGTGGGTGTGTTTTACTAACATAGAGCAATGACCCTAAGCAGACAGCCATGGCCACAGTGGAATATTTCATATTTCTAGTCAGGAGTTTCTAAAGTCATTCAGCAAAGGTCTGGTGTCTTGCAGGTTGACCTGTCTTAGCACAGCCAATGAGTGGGTTATAAGCAGGTTCCTGTAAAGATCAATATTATGCTGAGGAGCTGGTGAGACTATTTGAAACTCCATTGTCAGAGCAGGATTACATTTAATTCATACGAAGCAATAACCCTCAAGGACTGAAGTGAACACCATTGGGTTTAATCTCAATCCACGCCTCAATCCATTTGAGAATCTGTGGCAATTTGGTGTCAAAGATGATATGTGACTAATCTGACTGAAGTAGAGATACATTGATAACAAGAAGAAAATACACTGAATGAAAAGGCATATAACTGTCCTTTTGCTTCATGGTTATGCATTACTTTGTGTTAGTCTATCACATTTAATACCAATAAAAATATATAGGTTTGTGGTTTTAACTTAACAAATAGGGTTGGAATACATTTTGGAAGACACTGAAATGTGGATTACCTAATCGCACGAGTTGTTGTGTAATGTCCAACAGCGTAATGATGCAGTTGAGTCAAGTTAAACTCCCTCATTCCTTAACAACTGAATAAATGTATATAATTTCTATTGGCTTTTATATCCTGTACTATTCACACACACTGTATGAGGATCTCTCCACATCCACCCACCTTACTGCTACTCTGTAACCATGACAGCTGGTTTTGTCTCACTCATTTGCAGTCTCTTTGGCTTTTTGTGATGTTCCATTGATTTTCCAGAGGCTGGAGAGTTGCCTACCCAGCAGTTGTCTATCTTTGTCAGAGCATCAGCACATTTGGCCTGCCATTCCAAATGAGCGTTTCCTCCTTTTGTTGTTGGGCAAATCATGCAGTGACATCAGTTCAGACATTTTTCTTTTTTTGACAGCTGCCACTTCGAATAGAAAGAACAACTCCAGGCAGATCATCAGCATTAGAGCTCACCTTGTATGATTTGATATACTCCCAACAGAGAAGGCTGTCTAACAGTTACACTGAGACTAATCTGGACAGTCCAATGCTCACCACAATATTTAGTGTTTTTCAGAGGCAGTGGTGTCCTTTGATCTTATTCACATTTTCCCCCCAAAGAAAAATTTTAATTACTTTTTTTTAATAAACAAGTAAATTCCTGAAGTTTAGCAAATATTAGATGTCACTCCCCTCTATCCTGATGCCCCTGAATAAAGTAAAATGGGAAGTTTGAACAAAATTTCAAACACTGTGGGGCGTAAAGCTAACAAATGCATGGCACAATTTTGTAAGTTGTTAGATAATCATTATAGCAGCACTGTGTAACTTTTGACCCCAGTATGAGCTTAATTTGAGAAATATTGAATGTTTTTTCAGGTCACCATACAACACTTCGCTCTGTGTGGGTTACCCTTCTGAAAGATCCCCTTTAACAAGAAAGCTAACTAAGCTGAAAGTCGTTTTTTCAGCAAAACAGATATAATACTTGCTCAGATATTTTTGTTCTCTGGTTTAGGATTTAATTTAGAGGGGTTAATGCAGCTTCGTCTTTACATGCAACTGTAATGCCTGGATAGAATCTGGAGACCGGATAGTTCAATAGACTCAAGCAGTAAACGTTGAAATAATTTATTTGACAATAAACTGGTGATGCAGGAACATGGCTGATTGGAACTAGAATACCTTTTGGGAGGAGAACAGACTTGGATGCTGAGAACAAACCTGAAAGTTACAGGTCTAGCTCCCCTTGTACGTTAAAAAAAATTGGAGTTGCTTTAAACTTTTTTTTTTCTCCTCTCATCCTAACCTGTCTGAATCCAATCCGATTTGTTTTTGATTACCAGAATGATAGACAAAGTAAGTCTGATGCTGATTTCTTTTTAGCAATAAAGAATTTAAGTGTTATGGTTGATGGAGGCTAAAGAGGTACCCCGTGATACTGCAAATAGGAAAAGGAGACATTAATTTAACATGGAAAAAAGGGACATCATAGATAGTCTTGTTGCTGTGCTATATCTCTGTTTAGTTTTTTGTTTAGTTTTTTTTATTAATGGTTGCTCACCTGAGATTTTCTGCCAAGAAAGAGAAAAACTTCCAATACTGATTATTTCTGAATCAATATAATGTCTTTAATCAAAGTGCTTATCTTCATACCATCAAATCAGATATTTTCCTTTCATCTCTCTTATTCATGTTTACTCTCCGCAGCAAAATGCTTCTCTTTCTCTTCTTGAAGCTGGACTTCCTTCTCAAAAACAACTCCAGGGTCTCATCAAGCATTCAATGATTAGGATAAAACTTTTTTTTTTTCTAAAATGTGCATTTTTTGTAATATTGTGAATCTAAAAGAGAGCTAAGCAAGCAAAAATCTACCAAACCAAATGGTATCCAGATTAACCAAATGTCCGCTATGCACCTCTTTCAAACACATTTTTGTTCCTTCGGCACCTTCTCTCTTTTAACTATACGAGCTGATGTACCAAGTAAATTTCTCCGATGTGAGATCAATAAAGTCAATCAATCTATCTATAGAATAATTACTTGTTCTTCTTTTACATATTTTTACAGGAATTTTAACGCCCCATCTGCAATTATAAAGCTGCCACAGTCATTCATTTTTAGGGCAGCGCTGCAAACTCAGCTGGTTTAAACTTTAATATCAAACTCTCAGCAGCTATCTCTGACGCAGCACAGCACCTGCCAGCTGCCGCTTTTTAATGGCCAAAGTATTACAATTCAGGAAAGTTGCAAGAAGAAGACTTTTACTGCAAGTTGGCTGCAGTTTTACCGATAACTAAAATGTCTATTTTACACTTCAGGAACTACTTAACACACCAGGCCCCAAATTGCAACAGACCTGAAATCCTTAACCACATCAGTGCATTGCTTGACACTCCTCATTTCCCCTTTTATTCATTTCACACGCACACCTTCTGCTTAGTCATTTCAAGTAAAGGCTATTATCTGATAAATAAATTTAGAAACCCAAAACCAGGGAAATACTTTAAAGGGAAGAATATAATGTTATGAAATGATTACTGTCATCCTGTAGCCACAAAATCATCCTAATAAATTGAAATCATTGTGAAAGATTTCTTTATTTTAGAAACATCATCCAAAAATTAAAACTACTATAAAATGCAACAATTATATTACATAGGGAAATATTTCAGTTTTTATATATTTTTTTTCTTTAAGATGGCCTACAGCTAATTAAGTAGCAATTTCCCTTCCTCTGAAAACTTAAAATCGTACATCTGACTAGAGACCACAGATACAGGTTTTTATAGGGTGATGACGATACAGACTATTCTGACGTGGAAGCTGATATTGCCTTTCCTCTCTCTATTTATACTATAAAAATGACAGGATTATAAAAAATAAGACATTTATTAACAAAACATTAACAAAGATTAGCAGAAGGAGATAGCTGCAGTGCATTTAATTCACCTGGTCTTAAGACATGTCTGCTGAACGCACTGATGAATAGGCTAACGTATGCACATATCAGCTGATAACGATGCAAGTGATAAAATTCTAATACCAGCTGGCCGATGTATCTGGCTATCTCTCAACCTAATAGCAAATAGATTTTTAATACATAAATGTAAGCTCACTGAAAAGTATGTTCTCTTACTATACAGTATATGGACTTTATTGATGAATCACTACATCAGTGCGGTGTGGCCTGGATTCTCGTTTGAGGTGTTGGGGAAGCTCGGGTTGCTTATTTCAGCTAGCTAGTCATCCACTTGACATTCTCTTGATTGTTAGGCTCAAATCAATTTTGTGGCCAATAATGCACATTAACAGCGTGCTCATTGAAGTATTGCTTCTTGAAGGATTGTGACAGGGTGACAAGTCCTGCTTAAAAGTCCAATTGGTGTCTAAAGCCTGTTATCAGGATGACTTGATGCTCAAGTGTGCAAATGTGTGTTAATAATGGCTGTGCTGACTATCAACTTAAGAAAACACAGAGACCAACACCAGCTGAGGACATGACACCCCAAATTAGCACGGACTATGGAAACACAGCTTTTCAACTATTCCCTCACACCCTGGGATTGTGATTTCAAGTGTAATGCAAACATTATTAAATCCAAATACAGACTTTAAACTGCTGCATGTCTAGCCACAGCTGCAGTCCATGTCTTGTAAATCTACTGCAAACTCTTGAATATACTGTGCTTTATAATCCTCTCGGGGTTGGACTTACTGTTGCTGCCTATGCGCATTTTACTTCACAAATCTTTTTTTTTTTTTTTCCCACTAAGCTTGTCAATAACATGCTTGAATACACCACTCTTAAAAGGTAGCTTCTTTATCAGTGATTGTTTTTGGCTTACCCTTATGTAAAACTTATGCAAATATTTGTCTATTGGTCTCATGTTGTCTTCTAAGAAGCTGGAGATAAATTATCAGGTCTATTTAAATTCTCATCTACAAGATTTTTGGTTGTGTCTGATTTGAATATTTTTCTGAGGAATTGTTTTCTTTATTGGTGCAATTTAAACTTTTAAATAAAAATCTAAATGATTTATTACACAAATGTTTTACAGTAGTAACTTTTATAACGAAGGGGAACCCTGACAATCACATTCTATCTATACGTTTTGTCTTCCAGAGTGGCCTGAGTTTGTCAAGAACTATGCCCCTTGGTGGGCTTCTCATACCTTGGACTGGTTGACTTATGGGAAAAATGTCCATGTCGTCCACTTTGAGGATCTGAAGAGAGACCTTTTTTCCCAGCTCAAGGGGATGGTCCAGTTTCTTGGCCTGAAGGTCTCAGAAGATAGGTTGCTCTGTGTCGAGGGCCAAAAGGATGGAAACTTCAAACGTTCGGGGCTTCGTAAGCTGGAGTATGACCCATATACTCCAGAGATGCGTTTGAATATTGATGAACTGATCAGGACTGTAGACGCTGCTTTGAAGAAAAGAAAAATGTCTGGAGTTCCTGTGGAATATATGCCAAGATGATAAATGTGAATCCAATTTAGTTTTTTTCCCCTCCTTTTAAGAATACTTTTCTGTCAATAGACAGGGCACCACATATTGTTGGGTTTAGTTTTTTCCAAGTTTTTTTCAGGATTATTTTTTTGATTAATTTAAAAATATAGTGAGATATTTGCTTCTATACTTATTTGTCTCTGATCTTGGTTTGTTTGTCATACTTGCATAATTTCCACTTGCATAACTTTTTCTGGAGATGTTTGTGTTTTCCTATTTATAAAGCACTCCTTGCTCTATGCACATGTGCTGTGTAGGCATGTGTACATGCCTTATTATCAAGAAGGTACAAAACCTACAACTGCAGCAAAGCTCCTCTTTTGGGATGTGCTGAATGATGTGTTTTCAATAGCATTTAGCACAAGTTGGAGAAAACAGTACTGTAAAGTCTGTTGAATAAGTCTGTTTTGTGCAAAAAATAAAACTTTTAAAGACAAATCAACATGCCTATTTTGCATTGCTCCAGCATTAAAAGCTGTTTTAAATGTAAATGTCTCCGATCTTTAAAATATTGTAACCTGAGAGGATAGATGCTAAATCACTGATGACAATGTTTCCAAAGTAGACCTATAGGTCTTTTCTTTTATTTTCCTTAAATGCATTCATGTTTGTGGTGCACTGCACAAGCTGACAGATTTGTATTTTGATTTTTTTCTCTTTTTAAACACTGGATTTAATGCTACAAAAGGAATCCAAAAAGCACTACACTGTGCAACACCTTCCCCAAAGATTACCTGAATTATCAAAGTTTCCCTGTAGGTTGAAGATCACCTTAATGTGTTATTATAGATGTAGGTTTTATTTTTTTCATTGCTTTTGAAGAAAGCTGTTAAAAACTTTTAGTCATTTAATTGTTAATTATGAAAATAAATAGACAAGGATAGTGTGTCGACAGTCAAATATCTAAAAAATTAATCTGTATTATTTGTCACAACTTTAGAAATACATAATTGTATAAAAAGAAATACAATGAACAATGCTGGGGGATCCCCTATAGCCAAAAGGTTTTAACTGACTTCCATTTTCAGTATAGTATTATAAATAATATATTTTTATATTATATGCTGACACTTGAGAAATATTTGTATTAAAATGAACAAATGGGAGAAGCTGTTTCTCTTTTCAACATATGCTCTAAGTTGTATTGGTTTCGGCTATCATTGACAAGCTGGCACTTTCAGAGCAGGTGTCATATCTGAATGTATTTTCCATGAACTGAATGTAAGGTAAAAAGACACAATAAAGGAATAAGCTGAAGAGGTGTTTTTTTTTTTTTGTCCAATTTTTCTTATGAAATTACAGTTCAATGTATCGATGGCCTTTAAACATATCAGCAAAATCTGAAGAGTATAGAAGTAAAAAAAAAAAAAAAACCTTTAGAATATATAAAGCTTTCACTTCAGCACCAAAATCTAAAAAAAATTAAGCTGTTCACCCAAAGACAATATATAATATATAGCTCAATTTCCATCTTCTTTGTTGGTAGCAGGATAAAGCCCTTTTCCGTTCAGCCTTATTGTCACTTTTCATTTGTTTTTAACTTACCATGAGCAATTATATATATATATATATATATATATATATATATATATATATATATTATTTTTGTTTTATTATTATTATTTTTTATATATGATATATACATGTTATTTCATTTTCTTTTTAGAATACAGCCATTTGTCTTATTTGAATTACTTGTTCTCTTGTCTAGCCCATTTTGTGGAGTAGCTAGAAGAAATTGGCTTCTGTACCAATTCAATTCAGTTTATTTATATAGCGCCAATTCACAATACAAGTCATCTCAAGGCACTTTACAGTTCAACCAGATCATAAAGTCAAACCACATGTCTATGCCTTAGAGGAAGGAGTAGTCAAGGATTTGCAATGAAATCTTCCACTCTAAGAAAAAAAGTTTCTGAAGTATAAATCACAATACTTCTTCATCCATCCTCTTCCGCTAATGCGGGGTTGGATCGTTGGGGTAGCAGCTTCAGTAGGCCTCTGTCCCTCTCCCCAGACACTTGGGCCAGCTACTCCAGGGGAATCCCAAGATAATCCCAGGCTAGCCAAAAAACATAGCCCCTAAAGCGTGTCCTGGGTCTCCTTCTGAGTCTCGTCCAGAGATGGCAAAAGTACTCACTTTCCGTACTTGAGTAAAAGTACAGATACTTGTGTTAAAAAAATACTCTGGTAAAAGTGGAAGTACTGATTAAACTTCTTACTCAAGTAAAGTACAGGCTTGTAAATTTACTTAAAGTATAAAAGTAAAAGTAGAAACCACTTTTTTCATGCCGTTGCCTACATTTTAACGTAGATTAAACGTAGATTCCCATCCAATTAGATTGAATTTGGTATTGATGACGTGAAAAATAATAATGGTAACTCCATTGAAATGATTCAAAACTGAAGTGCCATTTTTTTTTAAATGTAAGGAGTAGAAAGTACAGATATTTGTGTAGAAATGTAAGGAGTAGAAGTAAAAAGTCACCATATAAATAAGTAGTAAAGTAAAAATATCAGAAAAATCTACTTGAGTACAGTAACGAAGTATTTGTACTTCGTTACTTCCCATCTCTGGTCTCGTCCCAGTGGGACGTGCATGGAACACCTCACCAGGTAGGCATCCAGGAGGCATTCTAACCAGATACCCGAGCCATCTCAGCTGGCTCCGCTTAACGTGGAGTAGCTGCGGCTCTACTCTGACTCTTGCTGCGATGACTGAGCTCCTCACTCTATCTCTAAGGGAGAGCCCAGACAAACTATGCAGAGAACTACTCCCGGGTGCCTGTATCTGGGATCTCGTTCTTCGATCATGACCCACAAAGCTAAAATCATCTTAAGCTGGTCTCCAACGATGGGTTCATCATACTCCTTTGGTAATTATTTCCAGCAGATTTTAGTACATTGTGTAGAGTGCAAATATTTAAAACAATTACATGATGCTAAAAATCTCAATATTGACCAAAACTTTCTAAGGAATGTTTCAAACATCCTTGAGCATACGCCACAAATGGTGGCAAAAATTCATGTTTAATATAAACACTATCAAGATTTATGTTTTCCAAGGATAGTTTACCCTGGCATGAGAGTCAATTCATTGTGAGAAGTGTTCACTCACAAATCAATATAAAAGAAGTCATGTGTTCCAATAATTTTCATTGAACATATCTGGCCTAAGGTTGGAAACTCATAGGCTCTGTCCGAACGTTCACCCTAATCCCCTATATTAAGGGCAGTCGTGGGTGAGCGGTTAGGGTGTCAGACTTGGATCCCAAAGGTTACCGGTTTGACTCCCGACCCGCCAGGTTGGTGGGGGGAGTAATTAACCAGCGCTCTCCCCCATCCTCCTCCATGACTGAGGTACCCTGAGCATGGTACCGTCCCGACACACTGCTCCCTTGGGGCGCCATTGAGGGCCTTGCACGGGTGAGGCATAAATGCAATTTCATGGTGTACAGTGTTCACTTGTGTGTGCTGTGTCACAATGACAATGGGAGTTGGAGGAGTTTCCCAAAGGGCTTTCATATGGGGCACTATATAGTGGTTACTGTCCAAACATCTTGTTGAGGATAAAGTAATTGACTTGAAATTTCCCACAATGCACCTTGATAAGTATTTGTCATATATGGTCAATAGACAAGCAGGTATATTGCGGAATAATTTGCAAGGAGAGCTCTCCTCTTGTGAATATGTATTTGTGATATCTGAAATACCTTTCCTCCCAGTAAAAATTATATAAATTATACCCAGTAAGGATATGGAGATCTTAAATTCATTTTCGACATCTAAAATGTTTATTTTAGATATGAATAATGTTTATTTTGTTTGAGAAATTCTTTTTTACCGTTTGACCATGACTTAAGCTTGAATCACGCTTTCATTTTTTGTGTTAACACACAGCCAATTCGCCATAGGTTCACAGAACAACACATAACAGAGTCCAAAAGTTTTTGGACATATGACACAAAGTTAACAGTAGGTAAAAAAATAAATAAAAACCAGTAACTGTTTGAATAACTGCGCATACGTTATGTTATCATATGTGCTCTTCCGCCATTGCATGAAAGAATATACCAAATACACTTTAATGTATATTTCCTTTTTCTAAAGTGTCCGTCTTCTTTTCATACATTTCTATACATCTCTTGCTTCTTGCGACTCCACTATTTTCCAAAGTGAGTGCAATGAAGCAAATGGCTGAAACCAAATATCACTGAATATATAAAAAATATAAGCTTACATGTTCAGCAAGAGAAAACAAGCAAATCAAAAAATTTGCTCCATGGGACAACCAATAGGTAAGATGTTCCCTCAGAACTTAAAGCTGGGAGATTGCACACTATACTTTTGAAAAAAAAAAAACATTTGAAATTCTAAAACATGAGCAGAATGTTTAAAAAACCTAATCTCCACAACATCTGGACGAACACTAAATCAAGAGCTCAAGCCATCAATAAGGGTTAAGTGTCCCTCGATAGCAACAGTATGTTGCACCATGTTACTTTTACTATTAATGTCATATTCTGGAACAGATTAAACTAATCCACAGCTCCGCCTCTGTTATTTTAAAATAAAAGCTGTGAATTATCCCACTGTCTGTCTCGGCTGAATTCTGGGTCCTACCTTCTGAGCGTTATGAGATGATTAACCTGAGTGTGTCCAAACTCAGTGACCGTGACATTGAACAACCACACCTGGATGAATAGGTCCATCTAGTAATGACAGACAGGTAGAAAAGGAGCTGGATGAAGTTCATTAAGATGACATTTGTTAATAAGACTCAAGTCCTAGACCAAAAGTCTGACTTGAGCCTCATGTTTGTTGTGACATTTGAGGATTTAGTACGAATCGAAAATGTGCATACCCATCTGCAGTATCTGAATTTACTTAAGAAAAAGGAAGAAGAAGTAGAAGTGCTAAAAAAATCTATTAGGGGGCGAATTGAAAATAGTTTTAAAGAACCCATCTGAAATAAGTACCAGATGAGTATTTAATGTAGTATAATATAGGCAGTTACATTTGAAGGTGAAACCTGTCTTCATTCGACCATTTGTCAGTCAGATGCCAATTGAAGCAGCATAAGTAGAAGACTTCTTATTTTTTATTCAAACTTTCTACAATGCTATGCTGGGACTTCCCTAGTGACAGATGTTTCAGAATCATAACTCCACTTTTAAAGATGATTTAGCATAAATCATTTCCTCATAGAAAATCTGCCACTAAATAATCTGCTCTATATTGATATGACTGATAAAATGGAGTAGGCAATGGTAACAGGGTAAAGTGGAAAAGAACACAAGAGGAACTGAAGAGCTCCTCCTTCCAGTTGTAAATGAAGAGCATAGATGTATAGCTAACCTGTCACAATAAATTCATTATTAACACTTGCACTCATATTCAGTAACTAAGTAATAGGTATTCTAATGAGACTCATTTGTTAGATTAAAAATAGCCTACCTTGTTTTGGTATTGTTTGGATGTAATAATCTAATTACGTTTACATTTTCTTTAGGTGGAAAATCATGATGAATTACTGCAAAAAAGAGCTTAAAAATCTATGCAAATTATCTGTATTATCTCTTTATTCTTCTGAACTGAGTTCTGTATCTTTTTCATAACATTTAAACTGATCAAATAAGAGTTTGTTTGAGCGTAAATGATTTTTTTAAGTATCTAAAATATTCTTCCAAATAAACATTTTAAATTATTCACACATAAATTCTTCATGATTGTAGAAAACATGTTTATTTTCAAATCTGAAACACAGATAAATTAAGGAATACAACAGATTTTAGAGAAGAAAAAAGGGAAACCTTAATCAAACTAATGAAATTTAAAGCCCATATAAACATTGCTTATATAACTTGTTAGCACTATTAACAGCTGTTTAGAAAAAATTGCAAAGAGTGACAAACTCAACTAACACCATTTAACTTCTTAAATGTGGTTCAGAGTATCTAAGAGACAACAATATATTTGCATATCTGAGGTTTGGTTTTTGTGAGTCAGTAAATTAACCTAGATATTTCTGGTTTTGATGGTGGGGTGTTGTAGCATGACCCATTTCTTATATATATGTATATACATCTATATCTATATATATATCTGAATCTATCTATCTATCTATCTATCTATCTATCTATCTATCTATCTATCTATCTATCTATCTATCTATCTATCTATCTATCTATCTATGGTTAAAGTGCATTATTTGTATTTCTATGTAAAAATATCATAGATTTGTACATGTCTTATACAGCAAACCTTGGCTGTATTTAACAACTAAAACAATTACTTTTACATAATTATTTTTGCTGTGACTATAAACAGATGTTTAAAGATGTGATTCAGGAAAAAAAAATCACATTGTAAAATCACATTTTTGAAGAGCATTTTTTTTCATTTAAACCCACTAAATGATCACTTCAACAGTAAGCTAATGCCTCTAAATGTGTGTAGAAGCTCTGCCGTCCATGGAGCTGGACCTGGACAGGTACCGGCTGGTGGTGCGGCCTTCATCGACCATTGCATTCTCCATCTTGGACAGTACAGAGCTCTTGAACTTCTGCTTGAAGTCGTTTCCCATGAAGACGTAGAGCAATGGGTTAAGGAAGCTGTTAGCTGATGCTAAAATTGAGCCCATTTGGAGTCCAGAGGTTAAAATATAGAAGTCATGCTTATGAGGGTTCAGCTCAAGTAAGACAAAAATGTGATACGGCAGCCAGCAGACGAAAAATGCAGCAATGAGCATGGTCATTACTTTGAAAGGTTTGGAGGATTTTGTCATCCTGTTGTTTTTGAGTTTGAGGATAATGATGGAATAACAGATGATAATTATGATAAAAGGAACCACAAAACCTGCAATGAGACGGGTAAAGGCAACAGCCTGGTGATTTTGTTTTGAGGTGTAATTGTTGCGGCAAGTGTGCCTGCCATCACTCCCAACATGTACATCCCGAAAAATCATGGAGGGGACGCTAAATCCGATGGCAAGAAGCCAAGAAAACACAACCACAGCTGATGCCTTTTGAACAGATCTGTGGTTTTGGGCCCAAACTGGAAACATTACAGACACACAGCGGTCCACGCTTATGACGACGAGGAGGAAGATGCTGCTGAACATGTTAATGAATAATGCAGAAGATGTAAACTTGCACATGAAGAGACCGAAGACCCACTCTTTCATCACTAAGTTGGCAATGTTAAATGGCAGGAAGACACAGAAGAGGAAGTCAGAGATTGCAAGGCTCAGGTACCAAGTGGTGTTAACTGTCTTCCTCATCTTAAAGCCAGAGATCCAAATGACCAGCATGTTCCCAAAAAAGCCCAGCAGGAAAATGACCATATAGATTACAGCCAGAGACACACACATGCCTTCTTCGCTGCAAAGTGGTTTGTGTTGGAATGAGTTTTCCACACGTATGGTGTTATTGTCCTCAGTGTAGTTGTTTGAGTAATCTCCATAATCATAGTCGTCAAAAAAGTCTGCATCCTCCATTTTACCTAGTAGAACAAATATAAAATTTCTGTGAGAATATTTGTACAAACATAACATCATAGCATCATCCAGAAAGTTACATTTATTTTGGTTGATTTAAAATGAAGACTTAGTAACATCAAAGTGATTAGTTAAACCATACCTTTATTCTCTGATCCTCTGCTGCTGTCTTTTTGTGGTTGGTTTGGTCTAAGCTTAGCACCGACTGAGCTGCTCTGTTTCCTTTAGATGTTTTAGAAACAGCATACATGATCAGCTGACATGGGAGGTTTCTCAAAACTTCCATCCTCTTAATGATTTCAGTACTGCATTTTGAGCTCTTGAACTCCTAGAGATCTGGGAATTTTTGTGATTGTTTTCAACTTCTCACATTGTTAATTCTGTGTACAGAAAAGTTTATCTGATACGGGAAACTAATCTGTTTTTAAAAGTTATAGTAACATTTATTGGAGGTGATTACAAAGATTGTTCATTCATCTCAGTTTATTTATTCAGTGCCAATTCACAGCATGTCTTCGCTAACATAATCCCAGAATTTCTGCTTTAGCAGCTTTAAGTAATGCTGTTTTATGGCTTTAGCTAAAACTAATGCACTAGTGTTTTCTCTGCACCTCCAAAATAGAGAAGTAATGAAGCTTTAAGGCATGCATAATTAAGTAGGACTATCTTGTGAAATGCTTTTGATGTTCCGAGAAATCAAAGTTTTGTATGTTCCTGGTAGCTGCCACACATAGTGAGCAACATGTGCAACTGCACCCTGATTACCAAAATATGACCCTAACTTTTCTTGCAGATGTTAGATTTAATTCTCAGAAAAATTCAACTGCTGGAGTTAAAAGGACAGCTATTAATGCTGTGTGAATGGGGTTACTGTGGTCATTTCACATAGCAGAGGAAATGAAACTTTTCTTTACTGTGAGGATAAAGCAGAAGTAACGGCTTCTGCTCAGACAAATAAATGTTGAGGTATAGAACAACAAAGGATGGAGAGGGCTTTTCAAACTGAAACCCTGCTTCTGATTTATGAGTTTTAGGGTAAAACAGACAGATTTATGACTTATACTATGAATCTAGAAAAATATTAATACATCAGTTCTATGTTGTGCTTTTTATAGCTTTAGCTGCAGCATCCTGAAAAACACATAAAAGAAGTGTCCTGACGTCTAAATATTTTTTATGTTTTGGTGTTCTGTACATAATGTTTAATCATTTTATTAATCCATTAAGGGTTTTAGTTTTAGTTGCTTTTCTTTTTTTATTTCCCAGTTTTTGTTTGGTATTTGTTTCTTTTTTATCTGGCCATTTTAACATCAACTAGTCTTAAAAAGTAGCCTTTTAGTTCATAATTTTATTTGCCAATAGCATGTATGTTTACTCCCATGTATTTTACAGTCTTAGCTACTTTGGAGACTTCCTCTTTATGACATGATAGGCTTTTCTTGGGTCTTGGGGGCCATATGTATGGCTGTGATGGGCCTGATCGGCCAGCGGGCCTTAAGTTGGGCACATGTTCTGTGTGTTAGTGTTAGTTGTCCAAAGATTTTCCCTCATCACATTTCTTCTATCTCTGCCCTCTGATCCCAGTAAGATGTTTTTAACTTGTTCTTCATACAAGCAGTCACTCTCAGCATCTGTTCCATTCCAGATTGTTATTTCCTTTTAGCTTTAGGCTGCTGGCACTGCTGCTATTTTTCAGGATTTCATTGTTTTGTAAGTTTCTTTTTTTTGATTATTGTTTTTTTTTTCAATTTTCAGTGATATTATTGTTAAACATAAAATGAAAGGCTATATTTCTGTGACAGTGTATTGAGTCATTATCTTATTATCTTTAGAAGGCAACAGAAAAGCCAAAAAAAAACTCAAAATGGGGGAGAAAAAAACATAACTGAATCGTTTTATGTATGGAAAACAATACCATTAAAAAAAATAGTAATCTTAAAAAAAAAAAAACAAGAATAGGATGGAGAGGATTTTCTCAAATCTAAAAAAGGGATGACATATGTATAAATACATTCAAATACTTGATTATTTTTACATCCAATAGTAAAACATATTAACAGCATAATTGTCTTGATTCATTGAAACCTTCAACTTGCGACTCTAGTCAGTTTGTTTAGTTATTGTCTGATTTGACAATAAATATTCCTCCAGAATGCAATCAGGTTTATTCTGTGGATAGCTGCAAATTTTGGTTAAGCTTCAACTTGTCCATTATGTCTTGGTTGGCCAACAAACATCCGCAGTGGTTTTGCAATGGACAACTCTAGCTTGTGAAATCGCTTACCCAAAGCCCTAACCTCAGCCCTATTGGAAATTCATTGACTATGCTTTAAAGTAAAATCTGCTTCAGGAGGGCAACCAATATAAATTATCCTTTTTTTGGTCAATAATGCTCTAATATCAAGCCAGAATTATGTCTTTATTGAAAGTGCCAATCTGATGTGCAACTATAAATAAAAATTTTATCAAATATGATTATGATTGTGAGGTTTAGTTTCAGTTTTATGTATAAACAAAAATATCAAACCTGTGCATCCACATATTGCTGTGGAAATGTATCACTTATCACTTTGCTGTTAATCCTGGGAGAAATAAAACAATTAGGAAACATATAAGTTAAATTAAATATATATATATATATATATATATATATATATATATATATATATATATATATATAGGTGGGCCCAGTAGTTGAGAAAAAAAAAAAAGAGACAAGACATGGTACCAGGGGTACTGCAGAACTTTAAACTGGCTCCATCCAGGAGCCAAGATCACGGGACTGGCTCCCCCCGCATGCTGAGCCAAAATTGAGAGGGATTCACAGCTGGGACATGATCAGGAGACAGGAGACAAATCCTAAACCCTCTTATTCCACTGACCTCCAAGGATAGGAACATTACCCATGGAAACATGCCAAACTAACGACACAGAAAAAAAACATGAACAAACACGAATAACTAATGATGTGGTCCCAAAAGCTGGGCTGAACTGTGTACAAAGCGGGAGCAGGTGGATAAGATCAATGATGATTGAAGAGTGGAGAGCGTACGGCAGGTGAATGAAGTGAGTAATCAGATCAGCTACCGGGGCTGCGATCATGACACTATTGCTTTTTTAAAACAGGGAAAACAAGTTTACAGAACCTGAGGTTCTAAAACAGAAACCTGGGGATTAATCTGAGCTTGGCTTATTACTCTTAGGTATGTTTTATGATTATTCAGGCAGAAAAAGAATGTTGTTTTTTTAAGAACATAGAAACTGGACACATAAGATGGGCAATACATAAAATACAATTAAAAAACAATTAACCTGAATAACTCACTGAGAATTATGTTCTTTATTTTTGCAAAACAACCAAAATAGTTTCACATTCCTTTTCTGTAGTTCTCTGGTAAATTAGGAACTAATAGTTTGTATAAACCAGAAAATCCAATTTACTTGGTTGCAAGATCACTCAAAAAACCTGCCTTGGAGATTACATTTCTAACTGAAGGCTAAGGTTATAAATAATCAAACATATGCATGCTTGAGAAGGTGTAGACTTAATTTGTGAAATGCTCTGAAAGCTCTGTAATGAATCGTGTACTCTTGTTTTACAGTTTAGAAGATGCTGAAATGGGTCATTTAGATTAATCTAAACTTTAATGGTATCATCAAAAGGAAGGACCTATACTAGTCACCCCTTTACGCAATGATTTATTTATCTACCTGACAGTTTCAGATGGTTAGAATGGTAGTGTCAGTAAAAAAGAAAAGAGTCTTAACTCTTACACTTAAACTTTTACCTTAAGGCTTTACTTTCATTTCTGTAAAAAACGTTGTGTGTTTTATTTTTCGGTAATCACCACTTTATGTCAGCACTTTTTATGGAAATCCTAAAAGTTTGTTCACAAATAAAACCTGACAAGTGCTATTGAGACTGCATTGAATTCAAAGGGTGGTGTTAAGATTACTCATTTCTGAGGCAAGACACACTGATAAGAAACAGTTTGATCTAGGAACATAAAAAGGGAACAGATGTTAAAAAATATTTACTCGGCCTCCATTCTGTGTCTACATATCTATGTTCCTACAACCCACTTCATCAAATTCATCCGTATTGTGAGAAATCAGATTTTGGAATGACACACATAAAAATACAAAATTAAAAATATTGGCACAAATTTATTACACAAGTTTTCCCTTTGTACATATTTAATTATTAACTCTGGCTGAATGCTGTATTATTTCAGCTTATGTTTTGAAGACAGCCTTTTGCTGAATATAAGCTGCCCAACTCATAGGCGTTTTAACTGGATATGTTTGGTTAATGTGGCAACTAATTTTAGCTTAGCATTTCCTGCAAAGAGCAACAGCACACAACTCAAAATGCAACCCAACTACACTTATAGCAAAGTTGTTTTACATTATTTTTAAATTTTCTAGTTTTCTATTTTCTTTATTTACAAGCCTAATTAGTTGTGGGGGCAACAACATGTATAATAGTTAATATGCTGGTGAAGATTCTTAGTCATCCATGTCATAATCATTCCAAAAAAGTAAAAAAAAAACTGTATTTCCAAGTTTGAAGACGTTTCACTTCCCATCCAGGAAGCTTTTTCCATTTAAAATGTCAGAAATAGCGTTGAGTTTGAAGCATTATAGAGTTGGCCGAAAACAAAGCCTTGTTTTGGCTTAGAAAACATGCAAAGAAAACATGCATGTTTTCTAAGCCGTCTTCAAACATGGAATCAAAGTCCACGGATTGTTTTTTTTTTTTTTTTACTTTTCTAAAATTACTATGACCTGGATGACTGAGAATCTTCACCAGCATATTGCACTCCATTTTGGGAAAGACACACTCGGAATAATGCATGAGTATGAGAAACCATCTTCTTCCGGTTAAATTTGTGTGTTTTCTAAGCCAATACAAGGCTTTGTTTTTGGTCCACTCTTTAAAGTCTCAAACTCAACGCTATTTCTGACATTTTGAATTGAAAAAGCTATAGTTGAATTGAAATAGTTAAGTTTCCCAAACAGCAAATGTCAGCAGATGAACTTTACCTCCCAAAATTTTGGGGAAATGAAAGCTTCTCAAAACCTCCCCTTACATCATATGGTTTTAAATTGGGTGTTTCTGTGGTATTGCATTATGCAGTATTTCAATTTTAGCAAAGACCAGAAATATCCATTAAGGTCCTAATAATAAAATAATCAGGTGCACAA